CAGGTCAGTGACAGAGGTTTTAAACGCCTTGCAGAGTCATTTCCGTGGCCTCCGCAATGAAGCTTTGCGTCGTAGGGAACTGCTATCCTGCAAACAAGCTTCTGGGGAATCATTCTCAGACTTCTATGCACGACTTAAGGACCTAGCAACCGAGGTGGACCTATGTACAGGCGATCCTGTAACCTGTGCTGAGATCCAGCTCAAGATGATCTTGCTGATGGGTGTACGTGACGAGGACCTGCTTCAGAAACTCCTCACCCTCGACGCCGCCTCTTCCCTCACCGACTTCGTCACCTGTTGCAGGTCGTATGAGGCCACAAGAGAGGCTGCCTCAGCTATACACTCATCGCCATCTCAAGTCCACGCCGTCTCCACCTACAAGAGGAATCAACGCCAGATGCAGACGACGTCCTCTCCACAGCCCCCGTCACAGTCACCAGTTTCTTCTCCCGAATCCTGCAGAAACTGTCAGCGCCAGCATGGTCCAGGAAAGTGCCCTGCGGCTGATAGTACATGTCGAAACTGTGGGTTTCAAGGCCATTGGCCCCGCACACCTCGATGTCCTGCCAACAAGGCCTCATGCAACGCTTGCAACAAGCAAGGACACTTCGCCAAGTGTTGCAGGTCCACCAAGAAGCCTCCATCTCCAGGTCAAAACGTCTCTTCACAGCCCGACAGAACGTCCACACCACCGTCTCCCAAGAATAACAAAGGATGCCGACGCGTGGATGATACCTCGAGTGACAGGTCCCCCAAGCCCGTCAATGTTCGTCTGTCCTACGGTACCAACTCTTCCAACCTCCTGATGATACCTGACACGGGCGCGGACATCACGGTGATTGGACCAACACACCTGGACGCCCTCAACATCCCCAGGAGTAGCCTGTCACCCACAGCCATGAACGACGTGCTCACAGCGGACGGGTCCCCGATGTCTCCACCTTTGGGTTGCTTCAAGGCAACACTACAGCTCGGTCCCAAGTCTTGCCTTGCCACAGTCCACGTCCATGAGGGCATCCAAACCCCTCTCTTGTCATGTGGCCATTGTCAGGACTTGGCCATCGTCTCATCCGAGTTCCCAAAGCCCATCCTCGCTGTGACACACCTCAACAGGTGTGCAGAGATACCTGTTTCAGCCATGACCACACCTGCTGCCGCCCGGGAGTTCTTTTTTCGTCAGTTCAGCGACGTCCTTGTCTCCAAGCCCGACCTCCAGAAGACGCCGCTCAAGAAGATGACAGGCCCCCCGATGAGAATCCACCTCAAGCCTGGCGCGACGCCTTTCGCCATCCACACACCCAGGCCTATCCCCTTTGCCATACGGGACAAGGTGAAGGCGGAGCTCGATTCTCTGGTGCAGCAGGGGATCATCAGACACGCCGGTGAGGAGCCCTCCGAGTGGTGCCACCCTATGGTCTTGGCACCCAAGCCTGTAGGTGTTCGCATCACAGTGGACCTCACCCATCTCAACTCGCAGGTCTCCCGTCCCGCCCATCCATCGCCTACGCCCATCCAAGCAGTCCGCAGCGTCACCCCGTCTGCAAAGTTCTTTACCACGGCGGATGCACTACATGGGTACTGGCAAGTCGACCTGGCGGAAGAAGATCGCCACCTCACTACATTCATCACGCCCTACGGCCGCTTCCAACACTGCCGCGGACCCATGGGCTTCGCAGCAACGGGGGATGCGTACTGCCTCCGTGGGGATATGGCTCTGCAGGGTGTCACCAACTGCGTGAAGGTCGTAGATGACATCCTGCTCTTCGACGATGATCTCCCGGCCCACTTGAACCGAGTTCATCTGATGCTCACAAGATGTCGTGCCCATGGTATCACCCTGAACAAAGATAAATTTGTGGTCGCCGCCCCCCAAGTTAACTACTGCGGCTACAACATCTCGCCAGAGGGGATCTCAGCTGATGAGGAGAAGGTCAAGGCCATCAGGGACTTCCCTACTCCAGCGAACCTGACCGACCTTCGCTCATTTATGGGCCTGGTAAATCAGCTGGCCGACTTCTCCCCTAAAATCGCCACATCAGCCCAACCTCTACGCCCCCTCATGAGCCCCAAGCGCTCTTTCCTCTGGACTCCTGACCACGACCTAGCGTTCAGGAATGTTAAGAAGGCGTTGCTGTCACCACCAGTCCTGGCACCCTTCGACCCGTCCTTACCAGTGGTCCTCCAGACCGACGCCTCCCGTCTATACGGCCTCGGATATGCCCTCCTTCAAGACCACGGCCAGGGTAGACTGTGCTTAGTTCAGTGTGGCTCCAGGTTTTTGACGGACACGGAGACCAGATACGCCACCATTGAACTAGAGATGCTGGCAGTCGCCTGGGCTATGGCCAAGTGCCGCCTTTACCTGTTCGGCCTTGGGCATTTCACCCTCATGACGGACCATCGCCCGCTCATACCCATTCTTAATCACTACACGTTGGACGCCATCGAAAATCCTCGCCTCCAACGTCTCAAAGAGAAGACCGCCCCTTACGTCTTTACAGCTGTGTGGCGCGCCGGGAAGCTTCTGTGCATACCAGACGCCCTCTCCCGAGCCCCTGTTAGTCGCCCCACACCTGAAGATGAAGTCGACTGTACCACGGCCGCTGCTCACGTTCGGTCTTTAGTGACACACACAGCCACTTCTCTTGCTGACAAGACGACGACGACGCCCTCCATCGAAGACGATAGGACTCTCCAGGAGCTTCGCATCGCCGCCGCTCAAGACCCGGCATACGTCCAACTCCTCGACTACGTCTCCGCTGGATTCCCCACCAACCGCTACGACATTCACGCCTCCGCCCTCCCCTTCTGGAAGCTAAGGGATAGCCTCTATGCGGACGGAGAGCTGGTGTTGTACGGCCCCAGGATCGTCGTTCCCGCTGCCCTCCGCCGGCGCACCTTATCCCGCCTCCATGACAGCCACCGCGGCGTTGAAGCCACCAGGCGCAGAGCCCGTCAGACCGTCTTCTGGCCTGGTATTGACGCCGATATTAAGAGCACGGTTGAGGCCTGTGAGCCTTGCCAGCAACTCCAGCCCAGCCAGCAACAAGAGCCGTACCTGTGCAATGACCTCCCAAAGCGGCCCTTTGAGTCCGTGTCCGCCGACTTCTTTAATGTGGCCGGAAAGTCTTTCCTGGTGGTCGCCGACAGGCTCTCTGGATGGCCCGTGGTAGTTCCCTGTGGTCGGGACACCACCTCTTCCAGGGTCATCCGGATGTTTTGTTGCTTCTTCCGGGAAGTCGGAGTGCCTCTCCGCCTCCGAACCGACGGTGGGCCCCCGTTCAATAGCCACGAGTTCAAGAGCTTCGCCGAACGCTGGGGCGTCCACCACATCGTCACCTCCCCTCATTACCCGCAGGCGAATGGCCACGCCGAGGCAGCGGTAAAGTCCGTAAAATACCTCATCCTCAAGACAGCACCGACGGGGAACCTGGACTGCGAGGAGTTCGACAGGGGCCTACTGGAACTCCGTAACACCCCTACCCCTGCCGGACGCTCTCCTGCCCAGGTGTTGTATGGCCGCCCCCTTCGTACTTGTGTGCCTGCCCACCCCCAGTCCTTCTTAGATGAATGGCAGATCAAGGCGGACGAGTGTGACCGCCGTGAGGCTGCCCGGATGGCCCAAGTGACAAGCCACTATGACGCCCAAGCCCGCCCCCTTCCCAGGTTGGCCGTCGGCCAGCAAGTACGAATCCAGGACCCGACGTCACACCGCTGGGACAAGGTCGGGGTCGTCATGGGCCGTGGCGAGTCTCGTTCGTACCAAGTCCGCCTCCCCAGTGGTCGTGTGTGGTGGCGAAACAGACGCCACCTCCGCCCAGTGCCATCCTCTAGTGACGAACCTTCCTCCCCGTCCCCTGTGTCCCCTTGCCCAGACCAGGAACGAAGGTCGTCAGTTGATCCTCCCATTGTCCCTCGCCGCTCCCCCCGACTCATGGAAAAAGAGTCCGTAGCCGCTCGAGATTGCACTACGAGCGTAAAGGGGGAGGGAGGTGTATAGATATGTACATACCAAGATGTGTGAACGCGCCTGACACCAGGACTCTTGTTACCATTCGTTGTACCATTTATTCGCATGTCTGTATTACTACATATTATTATAGCATGTCTGATGTCCATGCTTATGTCTAATGCCTATGTTCATTTACTATGTCCCGATGTACTATGTCTGTACCGCGCTAGTCGAGTAATTAGAAGACCTCATTTATTGTCCTAGGAATGTCTAGCAACTCCCCTTGCCTGGCTAGCTAATTTCCCTCAGATCGGCCTCGGCCTACCTACGGTCCGGGGTCCCTAGTAATCGCTCCTGTATCGGTTGGCTATCACGCCCAGTCTTGTACACTTATTGAATATATCTACTGCTCGTGCCCTGGAGTTTCAAGAACCTTGTCTAGGATTACATCCACCACACCACACACACAACACACAGTACTACACACAACACACAGTACTACACACAACACACAGTACTACACACAACACACAGTACTACACACAACACACAGTACTACACACAACACACAGTACTACACACAACACACAGTACTACACACTACACACAGTACTACACACAACACACAGTACTACACACTACACACAGTACTACACACTACACACAGTACTACACACTACACACAGTACTACACACAACATACAGTACTACACACTACACACAGTACTACACACAACATACAGTACTACACACTACACACAGTACTACACACTACACACAGTACTACACACTACACACAGTACTACACACAACATACAGTACTACACACTACACACAGTACTACACACTACACACAGTACTACACACTACACACAGTACTACACACTACACACAGTACTACACACTACACACAGTACTACACACAACACACAGTACTACACACTACACACTACACACAGTACTACACACTACACACAGTACTACACACAACACACAGTACATATCCTGGAAGTTACCGTAGAATTATCACTAAACAGTCATGTCGTTGCTAGGAAAACTATTCAGATTGTGAGGTCCGCCAGTCGCTTGAGTCTGACTGGCTAGTGTAGCTTGACCGCTCCTCTCTCACTCAGTCTTGCTCTAGTACTCGTGGAGGGTGCATGTGGGTGGACGAATTTGGATGTTATTCTAATACAAGTGAACGGTTGATTGAACTATACGTGATAAGTAGATATTGTGGTGAGTATATTGTGTATTTTGTATAGAAAAGTTATCTATGCCGTTAACGATCTTTTGTTTAATTTAAATTCTACATAATCAACAGTTAGGATGAAATCAGAAAATACAACCCATTAAATATTAGGGTTCTTTATTATGTTTATCTATACCTCAATTCACATTATCTCCATAAACGTATAAATCCACAAACGATAATTAAAAATGACCGAAAAAATCACCCTAAACGAATTTACCGTATTTAATTTTATATCTATGGTTACTGCCTCCCAGATGTACAGTACAGTGCATTAATAAAATAATGTCTAAAGCTTGTTTCTTTTGGTAAATGTTGTATGTTTTGTTATTAATATTTTAGTGAGTTATTCTGAATGTTTGAAGTACTGTATGTTATTATGTTGATGTGTTAGTAGTTTAAGCGGTTGATATACAGTCCACTTGGTGTCAAACATTTTTCAGTTTTCCATAATAACACTAATAATTATAATAATACTTTAATAATTATACTATTACTACTACTAAAACATATTTCCTTATACCATAACTATAAACTTAGATATTTAAAAAACCTATCGTTCCTGATCTTAAAAAACCCAAAAACTATTAAATACCTCACGTAACTTAAGATAAAAAAAGCATAACCCATGAAGAAGAAAACACAGAAAGTTAACTTACAAAAATGACTAATAATATAACGTGGAGATTACACTTAATAAACTGTATGAAGGTCGATAATATTTCAAGGTTTGAAACGTATTTTTTAATTCGTGAGGAAACTAATAATAATCTTCCTGTGAGAGCAAAACCGGATATTGATACCGTGTTTTATATTAGGCTCGCGTATGTGTGGGGGGAGGAGGTGTGTGTGGGTGGAGGTGTGTGTGGGTGGGAGGTGTGTGTGGGGGAGTGGGTGCGTGTGGGGTGTGTGGAGGGGTAGGAGAATGTGTGGGTGGAGGATTGATTTTATTTTTTTATTTTGCCGCTTACAGCGGCTACTTTATTGTGCACCCCACACCCATCCTGTGAGTGGTAGCGCAAAAGGATTACAGTAGAGTTTACAACGGGTCATAATTAACCCCCGTTGTCAGGATATTATGGCACTGAATGTTATACAGTATTTCATTTACATTATTTGTTTAGTTCTATACATAAAGGGTAACTTATTCACAAATGCGTGAGTACAGGCGTGTGAGGCAGTATGTCTGGCCTCACACTTTGTTATTCACATTTGCGTGGGATTTGTATGTGTGTACGGATGTGTATGTGTGTACGGATGTGTATGTGTACTCTTATGTGTCTGTATTTATAGATGTATATTTATCCATGTCTGTTATCTCTTAGTGTGCGTGTGTTTTTACGTACACTAGTAACAGTACACCCACGGAACAGGTCACGGTAGGGTAATCAAAGGTCAGATTACACAACCTTATCACCCCCATCCCCCCCCCCCCTCAACCCCTACACACAACACCTCGTGACCTGGGTGGGGGAGAGGGGGAGGGAGGAGGAAAAAAAACTAATCTAGCCTCTTTGTGATATTTTCCTTTCGTTCAGGAGTGGAATAATTGGATCTTGGCGTGTCGTTCTGTCCCACGTCCGCGTTACGTGTTTATCGATCAACAGCCTTGTCACGTTAGAAGAGAATTCATGTTTTGTTTTTTGTTTTTTGTTTTTTAAGTCATTAACATCACAAGGACTGACTACAAACGGTACGTGACAGCAGGCAGGAGGGTTTAGCTTTATCATGTCCTGTGAACTAACAATCACATACAAACAAGTTCCACAATTCTTCGAGGTAAGTCTTATACTATCAACAGTACATACAGCATACAGTAGTAACAGTACATACATACATACACAATTCCTATAACCTCAAACTTGCAGACGGAATTTCCTATAATCTCAAACTTGCAGAAGGAAATACCTATAATCTCAAACTTGCAGAAGGAAATACTATTAAATTCACTTTGCAACAAAATCATACATTCTACACTAGCTCCATGACTACTGAGTTTTACTCCGGGGAAATACTTAGAGTTGTTGTTCTTGGAATTGTGTAAATCTATGACGTCTTGAAGCTGTTGATCTCATAATGGCGACGAAGCTCTTGTCGGGAAAATAAAAATCACTTCGTCACTATAATCAATATTCTGTCTCTTACGTACTTTTTAGTCTCGTTTTATGTACGATTTTATGGTATGATTACTCGTATATTTCTCGTATAAAGTATTTGGGTAGGGGAGAAATTTAGTTTGTGTATATTTTGTTCGTGTTGTATTTCAAAACATGGTGGTGTTCGGCTGTGACTTTGGTGACGCTTGAGATTTTAATTAATTTTGATTGGCTGTTAAATATTTCCATTGACTAAATAATAACTTAAAGATTGTGATATAATTCCCTCACGTCCGCGTTACCGAAATTTACGTCTTCTTATTCACCTAAAAATTTTTTCTCTTGGTTATAAAGGAAGTCAAGATATACGAACACTATTCCTTGCGGTTAGGAGCCTCGACTTATCTGGCTGCGGCTCTCGGTGTTGTATGACTTAACTCGTTTTTTTATCGGGAATTTTAAAACCTGTTAACCGCTGATGTTTTCTTTTTTAATCGTCCACGTCTTTACTATCTTCTCCCTCTCCTCTTCTTCTTCACCATCTTCTTTCTCCCCATCTTCTTCGTCTTCATCTTTTCCTTTTCAGCTGTTTTATGCTTATTATCTTTTAGTATAACATTAGTTGTTTATCTCTCCTCCTACTCCTCCTTCTCCTTCCTTGCCTCCCACCATCTTTATCCCCCTCCGCCATACTCTCATAATATCACCACCGTGTTCCTCAACCTTAACAATAATTAATCTGACATATATTAATTATATGGGGGGGGGGGAAAATATGGCCGGCACTGCACTCGACCGCTTCCATATCCCAAACTGTATAGTCAGGTGCCTATTTAAGAACTAGTTTAGCTTGAGGTGCACAGATAACTAGTTTAACTTAAGGTGCACAGAGAACTAGCTTAACTTACTGTGCACAGGGAACTAGTTAAGCGACAAGTGTAGTAAATTGTAAGTTGAAAATGCACACCTCGTCTTTCTCATGTTAGTGGACGGGCGGACGGAGAAATGATACAGTACTTCTTTTGGAGCATAAAATAATAATAATAAATAATAATAATAATAATGATAATAATAATAAAAATAATAATAATAATAATAATAATAATAATAATAATAATAATAATAATAATAATAATAAAAATAATAATAATAATAATAATAATAAAAATAATAGTAATAGTAAAATAATAATATAAAAAAAAAATAATAATAACAACAGCAATAACAATTCACACACAAACAAGCCAACCATCACTATGAACGACCATTGTAAGTAATAAGTGATAAACTATTCAAGTAATTAGTGTGATAATGCAGAGGCTTTTAACTTAATTAACAAGACCTAATCTAATCGGGACGCCCTTAAGTAAGTGATATGTGGGTAGCGTAGCCCTCAGTACTTATGAATGGTGATTTAAGTATTATAAGTGTTTTGATGTGCAGTACTTATGGTGATATAAGTAGATTTTATTAGTATTTTGACTTACAGAATTTATTAATAGTGATTTAAGTGAATTATAAATTATATTTTTTGTAAGTAAGGTCGAATTTTCAAGCATTATAAACGCGGTGTTAAGTAGGTTATAAGGATTACTTAACACTTAAAGAGGAGTATAAGTAAGATCGAAGCTTCTCATTCAACTACTTACAAAGACATTAAGTGATGTCTGAACACTACTAGTACTTAAGAACAGTGCGGTGTGTGTGCGTGTGTGTGTGTGTGTTGTAACCTGACCTAACCTAATCTTCATGTGGTACATAAGCTGGGGTGTCTAATCTTCAGGTGGTACATAAGCTGGGGTGTCTAATCTTCAGGTGGTACATAAGCTGGGGTGTCTAATCTTCAGGTGAACATAAGCTGGGGTGTCTAATCTTCAGGTGGTACATTTGGCAATATGAAAACTTCCTCCACCACTCACTGTCTTGTCAGCTTTCTCGATTACATATACCGCCATCTCGAGAAACGAAAAACGTCTGTAGCTGTCGCCTTCATTGATTTCCCTAAAGCATTCGACCTAGTCGACCACACTATAATCATCAACAAAGCTATCGACCTCGGGCATCGGAGAAGTCTTATACCATGGTTTACAGACTTCCTCAGTGACCGACGCCAAGCTGTACGCTTCCGAGGGGCTGTCTCCACCTTTCAGTCACTCACCTGTGGCGTCCCCCAAGGTACCAAGATGGGACCACTATGCTTCCTTATGCTTATCAATGATGACCTAAGAGAAACCTCTGCTCGCTGGAAATATATCGACGACTCCACCATTGGGATCAGCGTCAACAATTCTGCTCCCGACTATACCGCCTTTCAGGATTTATTGAACAGTCTCCAAAACTGGGCCACCAACAACCACGTCACCATCAACCATTCCAAGACCATGGTTATGCACATCAACCTCTCCTCAGACGTTGTCCCACCCCCTTCCATTACTTTAGGTCCCAACACACTCCAGGTTGTAGATTCCACGAAGCTCCTCGGCGTCACCATAGACAACAAGTTAAATTGGAAACCACACGTTAGTGAAGTTGTCAAATGCTCCAGTTTCCGTCTCCACCTCCTCCGCCGACTCAAGTCCCTCGGAGTTCCTGCACCCGAGCTCCTCAGTGTTTACTCAACATTCATACTTCCCAAGCTCACCTATGCCTCCCCCACCTGGTATTCCTCCCTAAATGCCACACAACGTAAACACCTAGAAACAGTGCAAAAGAGGGCATGCAAGATTATTCTCTCCCCTTCCTACCCACATATCGGGCAGCGCCAACACATTGACCCTGACTCTCACTGGACCATCACCACATTCCCCATCTGCAAATTTGGTAAGAAGCTTCTACACCATCCTCGACACCGGCTCCTACTACCACCTGAGATCCCTAGCCCGAGAATTGCT